CACGCTGGCCATGGTGCAAGTGCGAGTCCGTCTGTGTGCCCTGCAGTGGACTAGTGTCCTGCCTTGTGCAAACTGCTTGCTGAGATAAGCCCTGGCTCACCCCCCCACAACCCTGTACTGGATAAAGCACTTAAATTCTGGATGGATGGATATATGACATCATTAGAAATACAAAGGAACGTCAGTACTTGTGAAGAATTGTGGTAAACTACATTTGAGCTGTCTGGCAACACTGCTGCCAATAACCTTGATGTCTTTCACAATTATGAAGTACCCTTTGCATTGGTGCCATAAGTACATAAAACTACACAGAGGAAGGACTAGAGGATTTATAACCTGTCAAATTTCAATACTGTATTGAAATTTCTCCACAGAACCTTGAGGAAAGTGAAATGCACTTCAATAGTTTGAAGCAGTAAGAATTAGGAAATAAACTGATAGCTACTTTGACTGAATGGTGACAATGTTCTGGAAGAAGTGCTATCCTTGAGATTAGATCAGACATTACACAGAGGTCACCACTTCATTAGAAGTGGGGTAAGAGTATGAATGTTGATCCCCCCCCACTGTGTTGGCAAATTTGCATTTTGGTTTTGCGCAATCTAATGCTCCCCCCCTTGCCCAACTGGTTAATTCCTCACGTCCACCCTATCTGATGTGTAGTGGGGCTGCTGGTGAATAACGACATAAGTGTTGCTTAATTGTGAGACTGGGGTGGTGCTACACTTCAGTGGTGAATGAAGTAGGTCTCCTCTAATATGTATAGAGCTTTGGTATCATTGGCGATAAAACATGCAATAGTGAAGGTTAGAATCAAACGGGTTCTGAATACTGACTTTCATCTTGCTTAACTATAGAATATGCTCATCCCAGGCCATAAAGTCACACTAACAAGCTTAGAGAAAACCTTCATGTTAAAAAAAAAAAGTGAAACCATTCCCTTTGCAATTATTGTTAAGCCTTTAGGCTTCATTTATGTACTCAGATTTTCAATGAATCAGCATTTCACCTCTAGGAAGTATATTTCTAAAATTTAAAACTGATTTTATAAACTATTATAAAATACTCCCAGCTCTTTGGTTGTAGATTTAGCACAGAGCCTTTGGGTATTAAATATTAGATCAATTACTTTTTATCAGGTAAGTACATAGTATTGATTTACCAGTTAAATATACACATTGAATGTAAAAGTTCAACTGTCCATTTAGTATGAAAACTGGAGACTTACCACAAAAGTCACAACCTCTCAACAGTGCCAGTAGTCAACTTAGATAGGTCACGAAGAATTAGCCTTTATAAAGTTTTGAGATATGAATCAAATATGTAAATGTGAAATTTAAATCCCACGTTTTCAACATGTATTTTAACGGTTACTCTGTATATTAAACATTAAAGGGCACTTTTTTTTCCCCTTCCCAATTTTTTAATTAAAAAAATATAACCTTACAAAAATGGTTCATTACCACTTCAAACCTAATAATAATCCTAAACCGGTGTAATGTACCCGCCTGAGGTAACACTTCAAAGCCCTTCATGTACGAAAAATGTACACACCCTGATATTTAAGGTATGATCCACTTTTTTCCTATCCCACTTTAAAATCTATATTACCACTGAAAACATTGAGCTAT